CCACGCTCCAAATATAGAAATTTCGCATGATTAGATCCAGTAGAAAAGGAGTTACAACTGAATTGTATGGCTGAAGAACCATTTCACCGAATACTTTTGAGCGCTACTGTATATGAAAGCCACGGAAGCGTACGTGAGTAAAAAATATCTTCGCTGGGTGAAAAAGAACCCACCTTAAGCATTTCCGGAAACGCCGTAACAGCGATCCAACATAGAACGAACCACACAGCTTCTAATTGAGCTGTGATCCTGGAAAAACACAGGTCAGTTGGCAGACTTCCTGCAGACAGGTTGGTACTTTGAAAAAAAGTCAAAAGTAAAGGAAACATAGTAGTAAATCAATAGCGGGTAAAGTAGAAGCATGACAAAGAGGACAAACAATCAAATAACAAAGGATGCCGGCATACAGGCGCTGAAGATCGTTCAGATTTCTCAAGCAGGAAAGTGGGCCTAAACAGATATTCTGCAATAGTGCGTCATCGCACAGAACCCTCTCATTTGAGCGTTATATTTTCCGATCATCATGCCACAACTACACGGTTCATGACACCCCGCACAACTGTAGGTTACGGTAGTGGCTGCCCACAAGCAATTGGTTGTTGTAACTGGGAGTATTTTTGCGTTTCATCGTTGTGGTGATGGGCAATCGTCAGTTTCAACAAAAACGAGAAGTCATTAGGAATCCAAACAACCACCAATCACCCGGATGCCATTATTGTTCCTATTCCTTCCCGGGGTAAAGCAATGTCGAGTAGAATTGCACCGCAGTAAGCGTGGTAGTAGCTTCCTTCTGTTGAAAAAAGGAATTAGAGTGCTAAATAATGCACGGAGAACCGATGAAACTACTGTTTCCCTGCTAGAAAGCCCTTGAAATAATGCTGACTCCTTTGGATAAATTGGTCTAAAACAGGGAAGAAATTTAGTCAGAGGGAGAGGCACCCTTACGAAGCACTGAGCGCTGGAGCGTAGCAGTGAAGTGGGGGTAGCCGGCTCCGCTTGCATGTAATGGTGTTCAGAAATGGTTTTCAGCCAGAGAATGCCGCTTTTGGTGGAAGAATTGGACATTCAGCGTTGTGTTGATTTTTATATTTCAAAAAATTCATTTCTACGGTCAATATGAATTTCGCTCAAATTGTAGGCGTGCACCTTAGCTAAACGAGTATTTGTAATAATCAAATGAATCGATGGGCTTACAGTCCGCTTCATGCGATGAGCGATGAGCTGTCGATCGGCATAAGCAAAGCGTGCAGAGATTCGTTTGTAGTACGTCATATAGAGATGAAGCCTAAGGAGGTGTTTTGGTTTGTGTTCATTGGTTTGGCAAATTTCAAGAGATCATTTCTACGTTGGAGCTGTTTTGATGCCCCCCGTTGCCCGCTTAACCTTTTCAGTACATCAGCAATATTCCTACTATCCACAGCCTGCTGGACGGCCTGAACAAATTTCTCAAGCCTGTTTTTCACAGGAGTTCAGCTGAGCGGAATTACAAAAGCTCGTCGAAGTGGAGAATCGATCTTGAGACCCCAAGCGAGAACCTCACCCCTGGACCACTCAGGCACAAAACCTTCCACCAATTTTTTACGATTAAAGTTAAAATGCTTTGCCGCCACTTGAAATACAACTTTTTCGCTTTCCACTTTAATAAATCTCAGTAATTTTAGTTCGAGCCGACTGAATTCCTAGGAGTTCAGTGCTTTTTCAAAATCCATCTTTTTTTTCTCAATAGCAATGTTTTTTTTTGCATTCTCAATTTCCATTGTTTATCTTGTTTGCATTTGGAGGAACAATTCGATTATTTATTAAAAGTTCATTTATCTCGCGGAAATTATTTATTTAAAATTTATTTGTTTATTTCTGACGATTGACGGAACTATGGCATATGCGACCAGAAGCCAAGCCAGAAACAATGTGGGAAAGGCGGAGCGAAAATTTCAACCAAGAACACTTGGATTTTCCCATATGAAACCAGTGTTAAATATACAAGAATGAATGAACATGATAACAGCAAAAATGTACACAAGAAAACAACATTTTTTTTTCATAAACCAAGTACACTGGAGTACACTGGAGCTCCATAGATAAGAGGAGATACCAGGGCCCTAACTTCCGAAGTGGGGAAACCAGGGTCACAAGGTCCGAAGTGAGTTCCAAACCACGACCACGACTGTGGACCGAGTACACTGGAGCTCCATAGATAAGAGGGGATACCAGGGCCCTAACTTCCGAAGTGGGAGACCAGGGCCACAAGGTCCGAAGTGAGTTCCAAACCAGGACCACGACTGTGGACCTTAAGACCCTGTCCGCCAGCTTAGGAACCATTTTCCCTGTATAGGTAGAGATGATGATGACAACTAAGAAACGGCAACATTAAACCGTTCCTATCGATGGAATTTCAAGGTAATACCATAATTCATATTCTCACTGTAAACCATACTGTAGTAAAGCACAGCCAATGTACGAGAAAACATAAACGTCAACAACGCACAGGGAACATATTTCTGACTATGAAAGCGGTATGAAATTTATGAGAAATTGTATTGATCGGAACCATTGATCAACGGAATTGACCCTAACAAAACAAGATGAAAGCTCAGGCAAGAGCAGGAACGTACAATTTACTAAAACCATAAAACAACGTTCATTGCATTAACAAATTCTTCCTGAAAAGAAAACCAATCACTCGATAGGTAGTGAGTAGTATTCTTTCCACTTTTGGCATGGTCCTCGAAGAACTAGCAGGGAGCGAACTAAAAACGAAACAGATTATTGGCATATGATGGTGTAAATGTCGTAGCACTCAGCACCCGATCGCGGCTCATCATGCTGCTACGGATATGACTCTGACTTCAAATTTGGATAGGATTAATATGGCTAGCGGTTCGAATGCAGAAAACGGTACGAGTTTTTCATTGTGGAACGAAGACCAACCCGCTTGGGCGTATCAGTGGTATCTACCTCTTGAACGAAAGCGTGGGTGTTCAATATTGAATGTCCTGAGTGGAAGCGACAGTTCGCATTCTTTAGACTCTCCCGTTGCAACATTAGAGACCTTGGTTGCAGCTAATCGTTAACCAAAAGCGTTGTGCATTCGAGACCACTATATAGGGTGTTTTTTCCACTGACCAATGGAAGACGGTTTATTCCTGCGGAATAGATCCAAGTCGTCCGCTAACTAGACATTTCAAACCTTCGCACTAAATGAAGACGGGGTTCCTAAGCTTTCACTGACGGGCAGTTTCATTAAAATTAGGCAACCAGAAACGATAACTCACGCCCTACAGATATTTTTCAGTCGCTGAAGGATATGATTTGACAGGAGGTTCATATGACGCTTATTAGTGAGCTCATGTGGTATGGAAAACAGATTGAGATGAAAGAAATCAATTCACGTTTTTAATCGATTGGGGTACCTGTTGAAGGGACAGCTGTGCGTCTCTGACACTTTTGTAATGCTATTGCTGAGTTGACTGGGTGTAGTTTTTCAGATCTGTGGGGATTATTGGTGTTGTTATGAGCGACTCCGATAATCGTCTCGTACTACCCATTCTGACCGTCCGGGTGAATTCTCTGGGAGGCACACTTGGTAAGCTTAAACTTGCTCACATAAGCCTTCATTCTGCTTGCCACCTTCACGGCGTTCTATTAGGTTGATGCATAATTACTGCGGATTTTTTCGCGGCTCTTTTTCTCTTGAAAGAATCTGACTTTCGAGTTCGGGTTTTTTCTAGAAATGATCTACTTGATTTCCTCTACAAGAATATGCTCGAAAAACCATCCGTATATTCGCGAAATTAGGCTTTACTACTTCGAGAAAGATTGGATGGTGGCGCACTCATTCCGCGATCTCAGTAACTTTTCAGCGATCGTTCATTAGGT